TGAAATGGATTCTTTGAAGACAGCTATATTTCGAAATGAAGTTCCAAATACAGTGATATTGCGAACTCACAAACTGTAGCACAAAAAATCTAGGACTATATATGTTACTAGGGATTATCCACGCGTTACGTGGGGTTTAAAAATTAACATGATAAAAAATAACACTAATAATTTATAGATATTGATTATTTGTGTATTTAATATTATATAAATTTGGTGTTTATAGTAAATAATTATCTAAATTAGAAGATTAAGCATTTGTAGCAAATTAGACATATATAATGTTAATGTTATATATGAAAAGAAATAGACCGTTCATTAATAAAATTTATAACATATGGAAGACATCTTTTTTGGCACGAATCTTTAACTTGTATGTATGAATCAATATTCACTACGATTTTCTAAAAAAATGATTGGTCGTCTTTTTTGCATCAAATACGTCTGTAAAAATTTATTGATCAAACAAATTGTAGTATACTTTGCTTCTACCGAGACATCTACATTATCTCAACAGAGGTGTTGGAATGCATCTTTTTTTTTTATTAGAACCTTGAATCATAAAGAGATATAATTGATGTTTGATTATATTTTTGTCTCACTCAATTTATCGATTTGCTGTGATTTTTATCTTTCACATCAATTAATTAGTGAAATGATTTTGTTTTCTTGCATTTACAATTTGTGGTGGCGTAAAGTTTTCTTTCGAAAGTCTTGGTTAAAAACGTTACTTTGTCCAATACAAATTGTTTCAATTACATTAGAAGGTGATTGGTAAATTGGCTTTAAAGGCTATGGAAGCATTTAAAAAAAGTTTAAATTCGAAATTTCTCTAATCAGACTTGTTGGATTTAACAGGCCTAAAAATCCTAAAATTATTGTATGCGTAAACTTACATAAAAATTATATTATATAAGATTGTTGGATTTGATAAAATAAAATATTTTTTCTATACATAAATTTACATAAAAATTATATTGTAATTTACATAAGAATTACATAAATGTACACAAAACATTTAATTGTAACTTGTTAGAATTAATTTACATAAAAATTAACTATTCAATTGTTAGAATTAATTGCTAAAGT